AATCACCCAGGACTTTGTATGTGATCACCAACTCCCCTTACCCATGTGCACCGAGGCAGTGGCTTTCTTCCTTATTGTGTACTCGCTGTTCTCCCCTAGGTCCGCAATATTATTACACGCCATGTGGCACCTTGCAAACCAAACTCAAACTCACTGCCGTGAAATGGGTTCCGACTCAGAGTGACCATATAGGACAGGAGAACTGCTCCCTAGTGTTTCCAAAACTGTAAACCTTTCCAAGAGCAGATGGCCTCACCTTTCTCCCTCGGGGCAGATGGTGGTATCAAACTGTGGACCCACATAACCCACTACACCGCCAGGATCCCTAGGGCATGTGGCAGCACTGGTAAAACCCGAATCAGTTGCTGCTGTGTTGACTGTGCTCCTTAGGCTTTGAAATGGCTGGTTTTGTAAGCAGCAGAGCACCAGGCCTTCATTTTCAGGCACATCTGGTCAACCTTTCTGTTTGCAGTTGAATGTGGTAACCATTGGCATGGCGCAGAGACTCCCTGTCACATGTCACCAATTGACAATAGCTCTCAGGCCAGTCTGTGTGTGGGTGTGTGGGAGGGCTGCCAGGAGGCAGGGGCAGCTTCCACGAGGATGGAGTGAGGCTCACCTGGGCAATGGCCATGAACTGCTGTCCCCACTCTTCTCGAGCCTGCTCCAGCTGATGTGCCCAGCTCATCTGGGTAGTGTGAATACCACATTGGTTTTCTGCCAGGAAGCATGCTGGGTGTTCTGGAGGGAGGCAGATATTTTAAGCAACAGACCTGCAGTTCTCAATCAAAACATGGTGCTCTCTGTGGTAATGTGAAACACTGAGCACGTGTAAGTCCTACAAAGGGTCGTAGTGTTCTCATTCACTAGACAACATTACCCATCTGTCAGTTTGTGGCACTGCAGTGGCTTGCATGTTTCCCTGACACTGGAAGCTGCCACTGGAATTTCAAATACCAGCAGGGTCACCCATGGTGGACATGCTTCAGCAGCGACAGGGATCCAGCCTACACAGTAAGGTCTGAGCATCTAACTTGCGAAACTTGCGAAAAGTAGCCAAGGAGAACCTCACAGATCACAACAGAACATGGTCCAGCTCACTGCTTTGGACTGGAAGAGGACAGCACGTTTGGTGACGTGGAGGGCCAGTGAGGATGTGGGAGGTCCTCAGAAGACTGGATTGCCCAACAGCCTCAATGGTTCTAGAAGAAGCAGGGTCAGCCTCACTGGGTCCTGCTGTGTATACGGTCACTGGGACTCAGCGGTAACTCCAAGGGAGCCAACAAGTCATTCACAAGAAAGTAGAGTGGGGTCCTCAACAGAAGGGCATTGTATTTGTTACTCATGTAGGAATTTGTCTCAAAAGATTTCCTTTAAAGGATGGGGCCAGAATGCCCTGGGCAGAGCCTCCGGGAGATCCCTTAGGTTCTCACTCGGGGTTGCCTTCCCCAAACTCCCTCCTAATGCTGCTGGAGGGCCACCAGCCCTCAGCTCTGAGCATCAGCCAGGTCCAATCCCTTCTTCTTGCTCCTGACTCAGTTTACCTGCCATTCTGGAGGTTCTACATCCAAGCAGCAGTTTGCTGTTCTCTGTCCTTGACTCTCTCGTCAGCTTCCAGGTGTTCGCCACAGCTTTGTTCCGAATCTTTTTAGCTCTTTCATATGTAAAAAGGAGCACGTATTCAGGCCCTGCACCAGCATCACCCAAAGCCCAAGCCAGACAGCTCTTTCTGAGTCTCCTTGAATTATTTAACACAGCGGTTCTCAACCTTCCGAATGCCACAACCCTTTAATACAGTTCCTCATGTTGTGATGATCTCCCAACCATAAAATTACTTTCGTGGCTACTTCATAACTGTCATTTTGCTACCATTA